TTTATGTAATTATTATTAGATATTTTAATATTTTTAATATTAAAATATTTTTTTAAAATTAATAAATATTAATTCAGTTAAATTTATCGCTATTGTTTTGAAATATAAATCCTAAGCAGAAAATATGGAGAAAAATGAAAAAGAGAGAGAGAGATATGAATTTTAGAAGGGAATCCAAAGTTAAGAAAGATAAACTTTTTTAAAAGAAAACGCGGAAAGGCTGAAGAAGCGTGGCAGTGACGCCTCTGAGCCTTCCCCTTGTTCCCACTGTTTTAAGGGTAACAATAATCACGGTTTTTTTTTTTTTTATGTACAGTCTTGCATTAAGTAACTATTAAGTCTTCCACTGAGTCTTCCTTTTAATTATACAGTGTTGTACAATTATTGAAACCTCTCTTGTAATTGGTTTCAACTTGCCTCCTTCATTCAAATACTGTAATACCGTTATACTAATTGTACCTTTTTGGATCACATTGCATGTATTCAATTCACTGTCACATCTCCAAGCATCTTCAGGAAAAAATGAAGAAAAAACAAAAAGATTAGATAGGAATCCAAGGTTGAGAAAGAAACTTTTCTAAAAGTGAACACGGAAAGGCCAAATAAGCGAGGGATTGTAGGCCAGCTATCCTCAAGTCTTCTCTTAAGTCTTCCACTACGTCTTCTCGCAGGTCTTACTCACGGCTCCATTTTTGATGTATATAGTCTTCTCTTAAGTCTTTCACTAAGTCTTTCTTTTAATTTTATAATATTATATAATTATTGATCATTTTATAAGAATAAATTAATTTTTGGACTTTTGTTAAGCACCTTAGTCCAAAAGATTGCACCAACCTCTCTTTTAATTGGTTTCAACTTGCCTACCCACTTCGAACACTGTTACACTGATTGCACCTTTTTGGATCACTTCGCATATATTCATTTCACATGCCATGTCGCCTAGCGTCTTCTTGGAAATATCCAAACTTTAACCTATCTAAAATATTATTTAATATAAATAAAGATTTTAAATATTGTTTATTGATTTTTTAAAAATTCAAAAATTTTATTTGAAATTAAACCCGTTTATTTTTGGAGGTGATTTTTAACACTTTATTTTTAATGGATATTCCTCATTTCGTTTGCTGTGTCCAAGATTCCAAAGGCATTTTTTTAAAATACATC